ATTTCATGCTGATTTAAATACTTATACAAATACAAACACTGAAATAAGCATGTAAATATATCAGATTTTTTTAGTAATAATTAGAAAGCTGTTTTGTCTTAAAGCATTCTTTGTTAACTATAATGAACATAGCTGTGGATATTAAATTGCATACTTTATTGTTTTATAATAACTTCCTTTTAGCCTAATTTATAGAAATGCGAGTTCTATAACTTTTATCTAAAATTATGGTTATAAACAGTTTTAGTTAAAAATTGCAGTACACAGCTCGTTTGACAAAAAGCAGAAATTTAAATCTGAATATCATTAATTCGAAAGCTTTTAGTCACTTATAATCAAAATCAACGTATCACACATTGGTTAACATAGAAATTTATTCACGTATTTAAAAGTAAAGTCTTCACATTTTTTAAAATTTCTTTTCAGTTTTTTCATGAAAATTACTAATTTTCTAATGCCGTAATATATACTGTTATTTAATGTAACAGAAATAAATAAGTTCTACAATAACCACGCGAAAAATTCTGAATTTGAGGATGAAATTACTAGCTTTGAAGTCAAATTATCTTCAGACAAGTTTATAAGGTATTTCTCCCACTTCCCTAGCGTACCTTCGTGGTGTAACGGTAGCACGCTGGGCCGGTATTCCAGAGGTCCGTGGTTCGATTCCCGGCGAAGGCGATTGCATATTTTTCATCTTTCCTGCTTCCAATTAACCTAATGACTCTACAAGGTATTTAATTGCATATGTTCGTAGAGCTAACAAATAATCTTAACTTTAATAGTATCACAAAATCGTAAGAACTACATGAACAGTTAATAAATTAAGGGCATTCCAATAAAAGGGTTGGATTTGATGTGCTATATAAAATACTTCATTTTTAGAAAAAGAAAATTATATTTACATACAAAATACTGGTAAATGTTCTGATTTAAGAAAGAAAATAATGTTTGGCCTATGTCCTCTACGACCTGTTCTACATCACCGTACTCTCTCGGTGAAATTCGAAACTTCTTTCTCAAATACCTGCCTATCAAGGAGACTAATGGCATGTCTGTTGTTGGACCTGTGTCCTTAAATTTCTTTATCAGTCTATGATTTGTTCCATTAGGTGTACTTTCATGTCGAAAGATTGCACACAGCTTTCTAACAGTCTGTGTATAGCACTTACAGAGTTTGACTTGCTCTGGTAACAAAAACTAGTTTCAAACTCCTAACACTCAGAACGAATTATCGGTTGGTCTGAAGTTAAGTACAGAGACATGAGAAAGATTAAAATAACATTTTCATTAAACAGAATTTGAACATAAGAACACGGCTTGTGCTTAACAAAACAACCCCAACTTATTGCGATGAAACTAAAATAACAGTTAGATTTTAATTAAAATGTAGGCTAGTAGTCAAAAACTACACAAGTAAATTTAAATCGAAGTTGCTCAAAACGCTTGCCAGGAGAATTTAAATGATTGCAGCTATGACACAAAGCCAAATAATTACAGGGTTCTCAGAGCTGACGAAGCCTACTAATGTGACCTGGCTGCAGAATCTTTGCTAGCGGTTAGTCACGTGCTGCAAAGTGTCTTCCGAGAATATTCCACAACTCGTAGTGCAGGGCAGCTCTGTCCTGGCTTCTTGGACTTTCAGATTTAGTACCAACCCACACAAAATTCAATATACAATGTGACGACCTCACAGAGCAAGGGCAGACAAGGCAGTACCAGTACGGTCCCTGCCCAGCCTTACTCTGTCCCGAGAGCCCCCAGGCCTTCTGTGAAGTCTGTTTTTATACCCACGTGGTTGAGACTGCCTAGGTACAGATCCTAACCAGTACTTAGAAGACTCCACACGTGTTCTATGGGTTTTAGGTACGGGTAAACTTCACTCACAGAGAGCTCTGCGACAGCTACTGTACGATGAGATGCAGTAAATCGCCCATAAAGAGAAAGTCCAGACCCAAAACACCTCTAAATAAGCGTACGCAAGGCAGGCAACCTTAGTAAAATAGTGAACACCAGTAACTGAACCTCTCTGTGAAAAGTGGATGTCAGTACGGCCACCAAGAATGATACCACTCCAAACGAGAAAGCTGGCACCTCCAAAACGATCTCTTTTGATGATGTTGGAAAAATGAAAGCATATTGTCCACTCGCTGCAGATGTGTATACGTCCAGAATCACTCGTCAGGCCAAATTGTCTCTCATTGTTAAGAGCACTTGACGCCATACTTTTGTATCCAGTTCTTGCATTCCCGTCACCACAGAAACCGGCATTAATGGCCGATGCATTAATGGCATTAAACCGATGCATTAATGGCACATACTGTACTCATACCGTATGGTGCGTTAATGGCACATACTGTACTCGTTGTCTTGCATATAGATGGTGTCTCCTGGATTGCCTGCTGGCCATACGAAGTCACTGAAAATAGCTGAATACTGCGCAGTAGCTTTGACTGAATTACTAAGAGTACATCGCTCATGTGCGACACTCATTTCGCTTAACCATATGCCATATATGCGCATGTTCAACAGTACTGGTCCCAAGACTGCCTCCTAATTGCTCGTTCCGTCAGTTCTATTACCTTGATCTGCTTCCTTGTTAATTTCTTTGTCTCGCACTTTATTTTTAAGCACCACTGTATTTGTTAAAAGCTCATACCACGAATGCTAAAGCTATTCTCATAAAATTCTCTATCTTATTTTGAGAAGCTTACTATATAAGGAAATAATGCCTGTAACAATCTTTTTCTAATAATTTGTCTATTTCAGAACCTCGATTAGGATGATGCTGTGAAAGTAATTCTTTTCATTATCTTAAACCATCTCTTGAAGGCAACTTCATTTATATTCCTACGGATGGCACAGACACATGAAAAATGTAAAGAATGCACTTATAAACGTCATTTCTTTGAGGCAACCAAATTAAAATTTAATTAATTTTATGCCTCCATCTTCTAATATCAGAATGAAGTTGATATAAATAGCAATATTATTTCGTAATATAGGTAAAGTATTGATGGTAAAAATTCAGATGAATATAATAATTCGTATACTGACTATAATTATATTATATCAGATAAAAGCACCACAAGGTTTTACAGTGTGAAATTTAACATGTTTATGGTGTGCTTCAAATAAATAAGAGAAGCTGGAAAAAGAATGCTAGCAGAAAACAGAAGCTGGGGAGAAATGCAGAACCTACAATATGGATGATAGTAAAGTTAGAGATCTAGTTTATTTCCATTAGTTAGCTAAGGATTTGCTTTGCAGAATTCAGCATCACTATCGGATTAAAAAAGTGGGTTATATAAACTGATGGCTTAATATGCGTTATAAGAATGATATAGCAGGGATTAAATTAGAAATGACGAAGTTTAGAGAGGTTATTATAAGGCAGGGCCGTTCCAAGGCCATTGGCTGTCCGCGAACTCTCCTAGAATTGCCGCCCCTAGGCCATTGGCTGTCTGCGTACTTTCCTAGGATTGCCACTCCCCCCAAATTATAAAAAATACGCTCAGTGATTAATAATATTTCATATTCACTAGTACTTACATATGACAAGTATCTACAATGAATTTAATGAATTTAAAATATTTAGTCGTGCTATCGCGAGAGTCCGGCCGTCCCTGATTTTCGCCGCCCGCGTACTTTTACGCGCTACTACTATTTCTGGGACAAAAAGCCGTAACAAAATTAAAAAGGAGACTTAAGGGCTATTTTAAATCAGTTTTCAAATTAAATTTAGAATTTTATCTTATATATTCTTTAGCTTACGCATGCTTTGGGATTTACGTGTACATAGATGAGTACAGAAAAAACAGAAAAAAAAAAAAAAAAAAAAAAAAAAAAAAAAAAAAAAAATCTGAAATGTTTCAGATTTTAAATTACGTCCAAAGGGGCGTTTTTTAACATTTTGTGTGTTACCTTTCTTTATTAAATATCATGTTCCTCGCACTTAAACCATAAGATCCAGTGCAACAGCAATATCGCAAAATAGTTTTAAAATATCTTTAGCATATCTTTAGAATTTCCGATACAGAGACTCACGCGCTGGAGATAAAAATGTTTTTTCTGCACAACGTTGCCATTGCTCGCTTTGAAAACCTTGCTTTGAGTTTGTTAATCAAAAATTCGTCAAAGTTTTAAAAAATAGGAAATCGATCATAAAACAAATTTCAAATTTCAAATTTGGTCTTCCACATGCTCATATTCGTTGGAGGATTACGTTATTCAAAAATTCGATGACTCTATGTACCGTTGTTTTATCACAATACGAGAAATATACATACATTTATGCAGATTTTTCATTATTTAATTTCTTCAAATATAATGCAGGACTCTAACATTTTGCGGCAACAGTTTGAAAAGTGAACCGACATTTATGAGTCCGACGCAAAATGCCAAAACGAAACTAATAGTCCTTCGGGATTCAAATCCCTTTGGACTAAAAATTGTATGCCATTAACTTTTGTGCGTTATGTATTGCATTTCATACACTCCCAATTCGTCGTCTAAGAATATTTTCATTTTCTATCTTAAAATTACAAACTTAGGAATGAAATGGAATGAAAACGGTAACAATAATGACGCGCACAGAACAAAATAAATGAATAAACGCTACATTAAATCTATGTAAATGAAAATAGTTTTACAACTCGACGCGTGCAGTTTCTTTCTGCCCACACCGACTAAAACGGGTGACATTTGCAAATTAGTTTTTTGATCTTAGAAACTAATTTGCGAAAGGTTTATTTGAACGCGAATCAAAACAAAAACGAAAAGGCTGGCGGTGGGGAAGCGGTCACGTCTCGTCGGAGTTAGCGGCAATAAAAGGAAGCAAAATATAATAAGAAAACACTACATCCGAACGCGAGTTTTTTTATTATTAACAATGAAAGAACAGGTTTTGCACGTCGGCGCATGCGCTGAAAGAAATCCCGTTTGCCGAGAAAACTTTGCACGTGCGTCTTCGGCTTCAGATTGCGACTATACGGCGGCTCCTATGCACCGATTCCCGAGTGATGCTACAGATGGGTATGCATTATTATTTAAGAAGATTCTCTTCAGAATAATCATTTATTTCTTTATATATGGATGAAAAGCTTAAAGAATGAAACTGTTCAAGTATAAACGTAGATGATTTCAAGAAATGATTTTGGTTTTTGCGTTCATTAAGTCTGAAATTATAAATTCTCACGCCTGTGACAGAAACTATTGATTATTGAGGAATTTAATATAAGTGAAAAAGATTACCTTTATGGAAATAAAGGCATGGCCTGATTTATATTTAAGCATTGATAAACTATTGTGAATATAGTATTTAGGTCATATTGACTCAAGAACAACTTCGCTTTCACAACAAATTTGCTACAATGTGAATTAGACTTTCCGTGTTTACATGACCTCTATTGTGGATACATCGATTGAAAAACTGACGAACATGCAGTTGCGTTTTTGAAAATGAAGAATTCTTTATTCATTAATATTGTCAACAAAATATTTACAACGCTTTTGTATTTTCAAGGATAAATTTTAGGGAAAGTTGTACACTCGAAGAAATTTTGATATATTTGTTAAAATATCAGAGGAAATTTCAAAATCGAGTGTGAAATTCATCAAGTGTGTATAAATTTGAAGTTAAAAAGGCCCCACTGTATATTTAGTCTCCAACTAACTGAATAGCAGTAGTAAAACCTAATAATCTGAGAATTTCTTATTGCAATAAAGTATATTCTTACGCCTGGAATACGAAACGATACACAGAAATTCTTTGGAATTTCACTTAAAATGAATATTGTTATATGACATGCAATTGGTCATTATATTTGATGATCGTAAAAATTAAGCTGTGAAAGTGGATACTACATAATTTGCTTCGAGATTCTTTCACTTTTATTCGCGGTGGTTGTTTAGAAATTTGGCTCTTAAGGAAATAACTTCCGAACTTGTATTTACAATGTCACCATCGCAACGATCAGTACTAAACAAAGTGGATACCAACAAGGTACTGCTTAGTCGAGGTTTGGCCATAGTTCTCAAGCGAGTTCCAGCTGTTCCACCTGTTGATGTAAAGAACAGCTCCAGGAAGAAAAATCGACGTCAGCGTAAGGAGCCGGTTGAGGATCAGCGGTGTAAAGGGTGCGAAGAAATTGCAGAATGCGAATTCGGACCAGAAGTTTTTGCAGACTGGACTCGTGAAAATGGAGAGTGTTATTGGAATCCATGTTTGGTTCAAAGTGTGAAAAGCCTGGAATACAAGGGTTTCGTCCGACCCACCACTTTGCTAGTGGGAGGTACTGACTATTCTCTGGAAGTGGTGCGATCAGCATGGGGTCGAAGGATGCTCAGACCCCCCACTGGATACGACATCGTGATGCTTGGTAAGTAGTTTTATAACTACTCTTAAAACATTGTTTCTAATTAGAGCCTTAGACAAAAGACTTACATAGCTAAAGCGTCTTACGATGTCCATTCCTGATGATTTTGGTCTTCCACGAATATGGTCACCTTACAGAATGTGACTATCATTGATCATCATCGCCTATGCTTATTTATATTCTCATGTTGATCACTGTCAAAGATTGGAAGATCAAAGATCAGAGATGGAGATCAAAGGTGAACACCACCTGTCAACCTTTGACGGGAGGTCTCCATCAGATGTTTTCACGATATTTTGTGTTATGGGGGAAAACGTTAATTTCAATGTTTTTTTTTTTTTTTCTTCTCCTTCTTTTCAATACTGCTTTTAAAATGATAAATATATGTTGCTAAAGTTCGGAGCATTTCCGAATTTATTATATATTATTTTTTTTATCTGCAGAAACAATCAAATGTATAAACACGTCTTCGTTTTAATTTTCTTTTTATTTTAACATTCGTGTACATAGTATAAAAAGAAACCAAAGAGTGCACATGGAAACAGTCAATCAGTTTTTAAGAATTAATACTTTCATTACTTTTAAAATATTTTTCTCTGAGCAATTTCTTGCGAGTGAACTAAAAAGTCTATTTTCAAGGCATGTTAATGCTACATGAAGATGCAATTTATTATCCTAATTGCAACCACTTTGCCAAATGCTTTTAAATCAGCACCAAGTCTTAAAACTGGTATGTTTGTATAAGGAAATGCATACAGTAAATGTATTTTTTATAGTATTATTATACTAGGCTATTAATAAAATTCTCCCAAAACTGAATTATTTATGTGGTTTAATGCAGTGATGCTATATGAATAATCTTAGCAAGTAAAACTATATAAAACACAGCCAGTGCTCCCAAGCTTATCTTCGTAAAAATCGTCAGAAAATGTGATAACATTTAAACTAGACTCCGTATACCTTTTCATGCATTTTATTTTCAAGGTTTAAATTTCACAGCTGAAACTGTGTTGGTCTATACATAAGTGGTTAGAATATGATTAATATGTAAATATAATTTTGTGTAAACATCAGCAAAAACAAAATAAATAAATAAAACTACATTTTAGACATCATCACAGCTTTACTGATTTTCTTAATTTATTATTTGCCGCTCTGAAAACTTCAGAACTTTGATCTCTTTTCTGAAAGGCAATAAGTTAAACTTACTTCGTGTTTTGCAATAAATTGTTTTAAATGATTTTCTGTTTGTAGAAAAATGTATTGAATGTTATAAGAATTCAGTGATTTAGAAAAAAGAATGTGTTTAAAAATAGTAAAGTTGGTTGAAAAAAATGTGTTGTGAATTGTTATGGGAATAATGACTTTTAAGTAAGATTATTAAACTCCTAGAATTTTTACACTTTTTGCACATTGCGTATCTTCAGAACAGTTCATGTACTATGAAGAGAAATACATTTTTAAGATTCTATAAAAAAATTAATTTGCTGAGTACAAATAATCACCAAAAATAAGAACATTAAAATATTTACTAGGAAAAATACTTAGGAATTAATACAATTAAAATAATATCAGTAACAATAATAATAATAATAATAATATCCATATTCAGTTCGTAATAACAAAAATAGATTAGGAAGTAATCCAAGAATCTAAGCTTAAATACTCTGTAACCAATAAACATGACAAATATTTAGATACATGAAGTTCTATACATAATCAAGAAAAAAATTACTGATGGCTTGTTCGTCGTGTATTTTTTGAATTAACTATTATTATTATCATCATTGTTATAAAAAGTGGCAAATGCTTCTAGTAAATTTAGTAAAAGGTTTATTGGTTTCATTAGATTACGGCAAAGCACTCGAGGGCTATCTGCCTTAAGGGAGGGATGCCTTCGTGGAGGACTTTCTAAGGAAAACTGACTAGTACACACGTTACACATGGGGAAAACCACGAAAGCGCCCATGCAGCCAGCCCGTTCGCGAGATTCGAACCTCAGACCGAACTACCAGTGCTCAGCGATGTTACCGCTCGGCCGCTGGTGGGCAAATTTAGTAAAAGGATAATTTGTGTTTCTGCATCAGAACATTAAGACAAATTACATCCTCCCAGTAATTAAAATGATTTGCTATTTATGAAATACATTTTATTTGACATAAATACTTTAAATACTTTAAAGAGGAATAAAACATCATCCGCGATATTACAAAATTAACTGTACAAATCCGTTTGTGCTTGTTAAATCGGCGAAGCAATATAATTTGCATTTGCATCAATGGTGAGCAGCGACCTCTGTCGCAAGCATTAAGATTCTTCAGTAACAAAAGTGACGACAGAAGTTTCCGCTATGCAATCCACAGCTTATCTTTTAAAACGCTAAACGGATGTGTTAAGATGATCTTAACTTTATAATAGAGTTAATGATGCGGAATATAGCTTTCAGCTATATTGAAGCTTAAACTATGAACATTTTTAATTTATGCAAGAAATTTACAGTCATACAAAAGGTGTATTCCTCTCATTCATAGCAATTAGCTTGTTTGGTTACTTTTTAAAGCGAAAGATCATATCCCATGTATTGGAACAGCAATTTTATATATACCGCTGCTTTTCAAAAAATAATTTTGAATTTTCCCACCAATAAGAAATAGGAAATAATTCATCGTCTCTCATTTAAAACGTTGAAAGCTTTAATTCTGTTAATCAATAAATGCAAGGAACACGAAGAGTGTCTGCACAAGTTGCATCACAGTTTTGATCGAGACTACTCTGGATGACTACTGCTAATTTGAAAATATAGTGCTGATTTTTACTTCCTTGTACGAAGTAAAAAGGAAGTATCGTAATCGCGAAAAGTTTCAGGCAGCATATTTCAACGAAAATATTCATTTTGACCGATTTCGAATGCAATTTAACGATGTTTTTGCATCATATATGTACGTAAGGACAGAACAAAAGATTCTTTTCCTCCAAAAAATTATAAAACTGCTTTAAAATTAATTCTGAAGAGAATTTTTCGTGGCGTCTGTACGAACGTATATACGTACCTATCTCGCATAACTCAAAAACGAGTAGCCTCAGAACGCTGAAATTTTGTATATAGGACTACTATAACTTGTAGATGTGCGCCTCGTATTTTGGCTGCAATCGGCCCCGCCAAACGTATATAAATATATTTATATATATATCCACTCTGTTACCCGGCTCAGTGATCTCGGTTTCTTTACTCTTATATGTTTGTAAATTGTACATTTTTTGCTTTAAAAATAATTTAATTATGTTGTTTAAAATAGTTTTAAAATTATCAAGAATTTTAAAGTTGTTTAAGTGCCGCTAAGTCTAATAAAATTTTTGATGGCGGTCATTGGTTGTTTACATTTGAAATAGCAGAGTAGTGGATTTGTTGCCAATCTAGAGAAATATAGCTTCGCAACAACAAAGATAACACCTTCATTTATTGTTGCGAATTAAATCATGCTTAATCCTTTCTGCAATTTTTTTCGAGGAAATAAGTGTTTAAGATATACTTCGTTATTTTTAATACAGATATTTTGAGTTTTTATGTATTTTTGCCTTCTCGCGAAGGGAGAACTGAATTAATTGAATGAGAAATACTCAATCGTCTGTGAAAGACATTCTTTTTTGTTTTGTTTGCTTAATTTCTTTTATACATCGTTCTAGCTTTATTATAGTATTTGAATAGAACATGTGGCAACGATTAGATAATTCTTTAAATGATATAAATTTTGTGCTTTCTGAGTTATAATATGAACGAAATATAATACTGTTAAGTGAACCTATCGCCAGAGTGTCGCTATGGTAAACAAATAGAGTGAATTTTAAAGAATGCATTTATTCTATTGTGGTTTATGCGCTGTCGGCGAAGTAGATTTCATTCAATCAAATAAGTTTAAACGATATGCAAGAAAAAATGCGTATAATTTAATATTCCGTACATGGAAGTCATGTGGTGTACACATCAGTTTTTTGTTGTTTGATTTCTAAATTAATACTCCGGATGGTGAAGTCCTACAGTTCTGTTCCATTACAACTCACTGTTAAGAGGATTTTTGGACAGACAGATTTTAAGCACCCCCATACTGCCATAGTTAATAAAATGACGGTATTTCAAATATTTGAAGCGAAGCTTCAAACCCTTGCAATCTACCGATCTCCGCTAGCCTATATGCCCCCTCGGGGTAAAACTTAAGAACACTTTTTAACACATGATACTTTATTTATACTTAGTTATTATTACGGATATTATTAAATATGCAAGATAATTTAAACCAGTAAAGATTCTTTCTCAAAACTATTGTATTTAAAATTATGAAATTTTATAGTACTGAACATTAGAAGTATTATTCTTAATTATTATTTTCTCTCCACTAATAAATATTAAATCGTAAAGAAATATTTAAATATTATTTCTGAAATATCAGAGCTATTTAAAAAAATAATGAGTTAAAATTATTTTTGGATTTACACGGAAAAATTGCAAAATCGGTGTTGCTTGCGAAAGTTATTTAATTTTACCGATAGAAATTACATGCAGTTTTACAATGTACTTTCGTGCTCTTCAAAATTTACCCGAAACCTCTTTCGGTTTGCTTTTTTAAATATTTTCATGAGTATCTTAATTAATTGAGAAAGCAACTTTATCAATGACGTCTTTTATTCCCAGACGACAAAAATTCAAAGAAGAAAAAGTGTTATTGAAACTTCTTTTATCGATGTCTGAGAAAAGTGAAGTTCTTTTAAAATCCGGTTTTGTGAACGGAAGAAATGAAAGCACGAGGATAGATATCTATTCACAAAAGAACCCATGCCGGAAATACAGTTTTATCTTTAAAATTCTACTCAGTTGCTTTTTAAGTTTTGTATTGAAATTACCAGCTTTTTAACTGGAGATAAAGACCCGAATAAACTATTTCTATAATATGACAGATAACGTGTTCTATCAAGCAAGTCATGAATGAATAATTAAAACAAAGGCCCGC